TTGGTAAGAATATGTAGCAAAAGCCCAGTGTACAGATTGGAGATATCACATTTAATGGCAGTGCCGTTTCCAGGCTTTCAGATCTATCATATGATTGACCCTTTTTTGAAAAAGCTTTCTCCGTGTGATCTATATTAGTCGGGCTCTGCTAATCTGCAGCTGCCCATAACCGTTGGTGATAAAGGCTAGAGGCCAGTTTTGTTTAAACTGTGAGCTCTGTTGAGTGTTGTAGTTTACACTTGAGTTGTGGAATTGGAACGTTTAATCTGCATGGCCCATTTAGCACAAGGGGAAGGGGGCCTCCTTGCAGAATGGGCAGCCCGACTTGCCTATTGCTATCACACTGTGGCGGGCGGCTGGGGAGAGCCTATGAAATGGTGCCACATATTCTCCTCCCTCTAGATCTGAGATGGGGGATACGGGCCCGGTGCTCGGGGAGTACAGTCAGGAATCACACCCAGACTCTGCCCCTGAGGTGCTCTCTGTCTACTAGAGGGAAGACGACATGAACTAAAACAATTTACATACCAGGTACAGAGAGATAACTGACACGAACAGGTACTGATCACATGACTTGGAGGTCAGAGAAACGAGAGGTCGATACCAGCTGGGGAAACTGAGGGAGGCTTTGTGGAAAACCTGGCATCTGAACGAAGCACCTACCGCTAAATTCTTTTATATTAACATTAATATCAATATTTAGTTTAGTAAAGTCTATAGTGTTATTAAAATTATTACACATTAATATTAAGAAATAATATTTAAATAAAAGGTGATAATGGATGTGCTAGTTGAGTTCAACTCATTGTGGTGATAGGAAGCATCAACATTCTACATCTGTAGTTCCAAAGTCCCTTGAGAAAAAAAAAAACAAGAACTGATGGTAAAACAATCACTAATGTTTGGAGAGCCATGCATTTAGAGCTTTACAAACTTTTATTCTATCTAGTAAGTACCAACTGTCAGAATGCATCCCAGGCAGTCAAACTCCAGAACCCATACTCTTAGCCTCTGTATTAAACTGCCTTCGTAGGGCTTCCATGTCCAGCATTTTGTAATGGAGTAATTTTGGATATGCCCACAGATTGACCATAAATCCTTGATTTTAAAGGCTTGTCCCTCAGATCACTATGGTTGGGCACATAACTTTTTTAGCCAGAGCATTGTTCTAATTGTAACATCAGGAAAATACAGTCAATTCTTGGTTATCTGTGTTAATGGAAGAAAACAAGATGATCCAGTATGGTGTGCAAAAATCACCCGTTGGTCGATTACATCACATTGAACTACTTAAAAAATTACATGACATTTTAGTAGCTAATTATGTGCTGTTTATATACTTTTTACAACTCAAATTCTTTGAGCATATCCGTGGTAAGGTAAGGTAATGGGAGAGACCAGGAAAGGTTAAGCAGATTTTAACATTGCCTCCCAGCTGTAAGCAACCACAATTTGGATGGTAGAAATAACTCAATCATTCTATCTTAAGATACAGGTTTACGGCACCTCCCAGCTCACAGGCTAGAGGAATTCAGAGCTTACCTGAGAAAAGAAGTTTATCATCCATGTCTTCTGCCCCCATGGAAAGAAGTTGCTTTGTGCATAGCATGTGTGCACTTTATAGAAACTAGGTACACTGGGAGAATCCATTTATCTGGGAGAATAGAATTTCCTTTTATACAGTTAAATCACAGGTGCATTACACACACAAAAGAGGATAAGAGTAAGTACTTGAAAGGGCTAAATGAGCAAAGCAAATTTTTCCTAGTGCTCCTCTTTCAGGAAAAAAAGTCTCTAAAGCAGCAATACTTTCCACTTGAGCGTTTTACTTCAGCTTAGGGTCTGGGAACATCTCCTTGGCTAGCTAAGCATAGAAAGTCTATTACTTAGACCTAGCCAGCACTTATGCCCTCACCTTCTGGAAACATCATCTCAATTTTCTCTTAACAAATTATCCCACTCACCTAGGAGTGCAGGCTTAGTGTGATCCAGGTGTTCTTGCTGTGTGGCCCAAATTGGACTGATCAGACACTTTCCTGGGAATTTGGATATTGAGCAGAGTGACATCAGAATTGAACACAAAGCCGATTCATTCCCACAACAGGACCCCAAAAAGACATTCTGAAGTTCTTGCAGTCCGGACCATTGGAGTGGCCTGGTCCCTATTCTCACCAAGCCTTGGCCCTTCAGTGTTTCCTCGGCTCATTGATCTAACCTGTGTCATTCTAGTTAATTCCTTTCTGTTTGCTTAAGTTAGCCGGAGTTGTTTCTGTCGCTTGCAACCAGTGGACACTACCGGCGACAACCATGGAAGCCAAGAAATCAGACAAGTTTCAGTGAAGGTGCCCATGGGGCACTTTCTAAAATATCTTCAGTCAGACTCAGCTAACCCAGGGCCTCATTTATCAGATGATGAAACTGAGCTGTTAAAGGACTTCTTCAAGTCATAAAATTAGAAGCCAGGCCTTTTAATGCTTTCCACCACATCACAAAAGTAGTGACACAGTCTTCCCTGGTTGGTTTGCTATGGCACACAGGTGGGCAACTGATGCAAAATGCTACTTCAAAGACCCCTTCGATCAATTAATCAATGAGTATTTATTGCAAGGCACTGTGCTAGGCACTATGGAGAGTACATGGAAGATAAGACCAAAGTCCCTGCCCTCAAGGAGCTTACAATCTAGTTGGGAAGACAAGGCATACATACCAGGAAAAGTAAGTAACAATACAGGAGTTAAATTAAAATGCAAGATAACAGTACAAGAGATTTCCAAAAGTCATACCTGATTAATTACTAAATGAGCGGTATTGATAGGAGTTGCAGCTAATTCAGAGGAAGGATGTCACAGAAGACCGACATTGGGAAGACTTCACAGACAAGCTGGGGCAGGGGCTACCCTACGACAGTCGGGATTGGGGTGGGAGAGAAGAGTGGGGAGGGCATGTCAGGAAGGGGCAGCCATAAGACCAAAAGGCACAGAGGTGAGACCAAAAGCAAGCAGTGTTCAGGGGCCAGGGAGGGCTCAGTATGGCTGGAAACAAAGTTGTTTTAGATTAACAAGGGCCTTCAATGCTCAAGTTTAGATCTTATCTTTTTAGCAGTGGGAGTGAGGGAAACAACAGATATACTTACATTAAATATGCAAAAGACTTAGCTAATCAAGAGAAAATATTCAAGTCTGATCTTAGGACATTTATTTGTGGAGTATGACCCTCTCTGCTTCCAAAGAGGATTTGAAAGGATGTCTGCAGGGTTGTCAATTCCAGAGGAATAGCTCTGGGCTGTCTAGCTTTGGGTCATGGCCAGAGACTTTTGAGTCCCACTATGATCCCAAATTATAACTAGCACAAAGGTGAGCTAACAAATTCCCTGACAGGCAGGCAGGAAAAATGCTCCCAAAAGACAAGTATCTTTACAAATGACAGAATATTTATTAACAATACCTTTAAAAAAAGATTACATATGCTAGATCACTGGTAAATGTCATTTACACTGGGGCTGGGGACTACCTGGGGTGTCATCTTTTTTTTTCATTCATTTCATTATTTTGTTGATTTTTTTTGTGTATGACTTTAAATTTTATTTTATTTTAACATAGAAGTAAGTAATCATATTAAACTAAGAAAGGAACACAGCTTGAAATACTGACAATATTTTCTTCCGGTTACCACCCTAATTTTTACACAAATGGAATCCTGATTATGACTTTATTGGATAAATATAACTAGAAGGTTGAAAAGTTAAGTTATATTAAGTTATATTATTTGTAAGCAAAAATGACAAATTACAGGCAAATTTGAGTTCTCTGAGAAAGAAGAAAAGGTGGCAGCGTGTTTACATGTGAAAATTTTTATAGAAAATTTCATTGCCTTTTATATTACTGTTCCACTAGTATCAGCTTACAAAACCTCCCCATCATAACAAATAGTTCTTTTCATAAGAATACGGATTTGTTGATATTGTCATTTTCCAATGTGTGATTTAAAGACTTAGAAGGTAAAGCTTATAAAGCAACTAGGCTACCTATTGCAAAACAGGAGAATCATTAAGATACCATACAATTGTACTAAAGATCTCTTACAGAGTCATATGAAAAATTCTTTGCAGCAACTATTTGCTAAAATAGGAGAAATCTTCCAAACTCCATAGGTAATTTTGATTCGAAAGAAGGGCTCTATTATCACAGAGATACATGTATTATATATAAGAAATTTTGTAAAGAAATTATGACTCTATTGACAGAGAATTGCTTGTTTTTTAAAATTTACATTCAAAACAGATACATTTAAAGATAGTAAAATTATCTTGTATCCTTCGAAAGACTCGATTGACTATAGTAACTTTTGGTCTATGTAACTTCAAATTTAAGGTCTAAGATAATGCTACTACAAAGACAATGCTAACTTAGCTGAGTGAAAAGAAAGTCTTACTGTACAATGCTAAATTCAGGGATGGGAGTATTGCACAAGGCGCCTCTTAGGCAGTAGATTTAGTTTTTGAGATTGCAGCCATTCCTGAAACCGTCTCAAGTTGTGTTGAACAATAGAATTCACAACGGGGTGGGAAAACATATTGTACATGTCAAAATGCATTAACCATTCAAAGAGTAATTTGCATACAGCAGCCTTGAGTTATAGACCAAATCTTCAGCTGTTCTGCCACTAGATCCTCATAAAACTGTACAAGTAATTTGCAATTTATTAACCAAGGTGAGTTTCAAACTCTGTTTTTAAAGGAAATATTTTCAAATTATAATTGCACGGTTGTGTTGCCCATAGCATTTTACAGCAGAGGAAAAAATTAATATCTACATTATATGTTAACTTTAAAAAATTCTATAAAACACTAAATATATAATAAAAAATATGCATATAAGGACATATGTAAACTGCTTTGGTAACATCATATTACAGATGTCTTCAGTGCATTGCAGAGTTTCCAAAGAACCTTCAGACAAAGCTAGATTTGCTTTGAGGAAGTACTGTATAATGCCATTCCTAAAGAAGCAAAAAACATTTTTATTTCCGTTAATAAGATGTACTCGAACAACAATATTACTTAGTACTGGGTGTCTTCAAAACAACTAGCTAAATGTTGCTTATATTATAAACAGCAAGTCCTTTAGACAACTTTTGTCATAAACTGGACCGAGCTGTGAGGGAAATCATTATCGTACTGATGGCTGACAGCGTACATGCGTTTGAAGTGGAAGCCCCGGATCCTCTCGCATAGGCATCTGAAAAGAGAGAAAAAATTCACTCAAAAAAAAAAATAAATAAAAAAGTAAAACAGCCTCATCCTGACTACAAAGGGAAGAGAGGCCAATGAAACAGCAGAACTGCCTGGGTTCTATTGCAAATAATTATCTCTTAATGACTTTTCAATATCGGTTCTATTACTGCCCAGCTAGGAACTTGGGAGCAGGGTATGGGACACCCCTCCCTGTACCTCTGTTAAAGCATTTGTAAAACAGGAATGTCCATATCTAACGTGTGAAGAAACTTCAATATTACTAATAACAATACTGACAAATATATTGATAATGCAACAAAATGAAAATTGCTACTCCCTTTTGAACTCTGCCTTTGTGCTGGGCACAGACCTATGTGACACTCAAATCTTGCAAAATCTGGATGACAGCCAACTATTGCTATTATCCCATTTAATGGATGAGATTTGGGCCCAGAGAAGTAAGGTAACTTTTCTAAGATCACATAGCTAGTAAATAGCTGGATTGGGTTTCAAACCCATGTCTGTCTAAATATCCCTTTTCTCCAAACAAAATAATCTCAATCCTTTTTAAGCTTTTTCTTATGGGTCCTACATTTTTGTTTTTCTTTTATTTCAAGGCTAGTCAAGTGAAGCAGAGGGAGTGGAGGAGGAACAAAGGAATCTGTAACTGGTTGTGATCAATTAGCTGTGAAGACCACTGCACTCGGACCAGCTGGGGCCGACATTTCTCACAGTAAGAAGTTACCGTCTGTCATTCGGGGTCTCTTCAATATTGTGAGATCTCTGTGACCCACATAACGAAAACTCTCTTGAGGGGAGAGATCATGGTTTGCTCACAGTCACATTCTTATCATCTAATAACTATACCAACATAATTGCTTAATCTATGTTTTTATGATGAATAATAAAACCAGGAATCAGTCAGAAAACCAATACTTGCAATAAGAAAGTATGAAGTCAGATTTTTAACAGAGTGAGATAAATAAACCCCAATCGTGTGCTTTTGTGGCCTGGAGATTACTTCCACATCTCACCATAAATCTGGCTCCTTTTCAACAAAAGTTAGAGCCCCTGTTTGGTGAAGCGTAGAATCCAATTCTCCCCAGTTTTTTAAAGAAGATAAAAATGCCTTTAGTGTTCGTATGCAAAAAAGATGCAGTAAATATAAACTCCATCTAGCAACACTGGAAAATCAGCCCTGAGTTCTGAAGCATGGCTCTGCGGACCCCAGTTCCCCCCCCTGAAGGAAGGCCTGTCTATTAGCATTAACACGTGCCTATTGAATCCCACGTAAACAAAAGGAGATTTAGAGGAAGGGTGAAATGACCGAGGAACTTTTCTCTTCTGATTTGAGGCACTGGAATTTTGTAGATGCAATTAAAATTGTTTAGTGGGTGCTTTACTATTACTCGCATCAGCAAGACACGATAGGCCCTTTCCGCATCTGAAAAATAATACGATGGCAGGGGCACACCGCGGGGCTGAAACTCAGGACTCTGTGGGGAGGATTTGCCCAGGATATAAAATATCACGTCTTCACTGATGGCTTGAAAATTTGTATCGCCAGCCTCCACCGATCCCACTAATCTCTAGACTGCGAAAGCCAAAGACCGGTGAAAATCTACACTTCGATATCTAACTGCAATCGTTCCTTTTTTATTGTGGTAGAATACACGTAAAGCGAAATTTACTATTTTAACTAGTTTAAAGTGTGCAATTCAGTGGCATTAGGGACACCCCAATGTTGTACAACCAGCATCACTATTTAGTTCTAGAATTTTTTCATCACCCCAAGTGGAAACCTGGTAGCCACGAAGCTGCCACTGGCCAGGCACTGCCGATCACTAACCTGATTTCTGTCTCCATGGATTTGCCTATTCTGTGTTTTTTCTTTAAATAAATGGAATCACACACAAGAATGAAAAATAATATGCTGCTGAGACATTTACAAACATTTGAAAACCAGATTAAACGTATTAGCTCAAAAAAGAATACTCTCACACATCCTTCAATGATATTTGAAAGTGAAGATAATAGAGACATATGCATTTAACACGTATGTTACATACACACATTCAAAATAAACAGTAAGTTCAAAATATTTTCAACTGAAGACATCGAACCACATTGTTTCACTGCAGACAAACTGCTATAGTATTTTTAAGAATGCTTTTGCTTGTTCTTCTGACGGAGTCGTGCTTTTAACTTTCTAAGCTGTAATTTTGGGGTTATGTAAATGCAAACCACATGTGTCAACATGGAAAAACCCGAGTGACTGATTTGGGCTGCTTTAACCTGATTTCTGATTGGCAACAGATTCATCAGTCAAAACAGGGCAAACTGTTCTTTGCATGGAACTGCCTGTGATCAGCAAACGCCAGTTGTCTGAGGGAGAGAGGTGGTAGCCTCCGTTTTTATTATGAGTCTTCTTTTCCTGGGCTTACTTTATTTCAAGCCCCGACTCATCTGGAAGGCTGATAAGACAGCCAGCGGGAAACAGAGAAAAAAAACATTCTTACTTGATATCTTTGGAATTCGAATTTGTTCACTGCTGCTGCCATCACCTCCATCACTGAATGGCTTGATTTCTATTATATAATCTTCGTCAAAAGGCAAAGAAAGCTCCACCGATGTTTTGTTTGTTTCAATGACAGATGTACTGCTTTGTCTGTTCCATCTGTACAAGACCTGCCAATACAGAAAGAACAGGTGTCACCTGCTGTTCTCACAAAAGCCCCAGAGATGGAGCATTCGTTTGTTTTCACCTCTGGGCACCAGCTAAATGCAGGGACGTTGAGGTTGTCCGGCTGCCCGCCTGCATTTGGAAGGCTCGTTTACCGCGAGGGCCATGTCTGCAGCTACCATTTCGTTGTGAGGAAAGAGTTTAAAAGGATACGACAGCAGGGGAGCTGGCAGCGTGATTCCACCAACTTTCCAACCTATCGGAGGCTCAGTTGACACACCTGAAAAAATGGGAAAATGAATACCTCCTTGAGGACACACAGCGCTCAGTTACACACTGGGCTTTGGCATCAGAACAGACTTGGCCACTGCATGACTGTGGGCCACTCTCTTCACCTCTCTGAGCCTCACTTCTGTCATCTGTAAAATGGGGACAGTAATATCCCCCCATCTTGGAGCATTTTCAAGATTGCACAAGGATGGAAGAGGGTGAGGGTCCAGCTCAAAGGAAGCAGGTAAGAAATGGTATCTATGAAGGCTTAAAGAGAATAAGAGAAACATACATGGCAAAGTTTAGAAGCATAAGACAAGAATACCCAAAAGGTTATTATTATTATGAATCTTTTGGAGAGAGGATATTTCAGCACAGAAAGATCTCTGAAAGGCAAGGGCAGTAACACCCCCCCCCCTTTCCTCCAACTGGGATCTCTTTTAGAGAGGCTGCCTAGAAAAGAGTCAATCACTGTCACCCTGCAAGTGTCTGGAGCTTCCAACAGTCCCACTTATACACCTTTGTTTTCCTTCTTGGCCCCCACTGGATTTTGAGTTTTTGGTGTGATTCATTTGATGAGGTGGCCAACTAGCTCTCCTGAAAACACATTCACCTTCCTGGGACTGCCTGCTCTGATCGGCATCAACTCCAATTAGGAACAAAACATACAGATTTGGGAAAGTGTGTCTACTTTTACCTAGAGAAAGTGCATTTACCTACAGAACCGCTGTAGCTCACCCTCTCCAGTTTTCCCTGGCAGTTGAAAAGATAGGGTTGGATGAGATCAGTGGTTCTCTGTCCTGACTTCATGTTAGGACATGTTAGAAGCACTTGGGGTGCTTGCAAAATACTGATGCTCTAGCTCAGTGGTTCTCATCAGGGGTGGGAAGGGTGGGGGTGGGGGGAATTTTGCCCCACAGGGGGGTATTTGACAACATCTGCAGACTTTTTTGGTTGTGACAACGGGTGCTAACTGGTGTAGCAGGTAGAAATCCGGGCTGCTGCTGAACATCCTATGATGCAGAGGACAGTCCCACAATAAAGAATCATCTAACTCAAAGTGTCAGTAGTGAGGAGGCTGAGGAAGTTCCACTCCAGCATGCCTGAGTAAGGCTCTGCAGAGGTGGGGTCCAGGCTGTGGTATGTTTTCAGAAAAAAAAGATTCTCTGGCGATGCTAATATGGGATGGGCCCATTGAATTCAATTAGTGGATCTCAAACTTGAGCATGCATCAGAATCACTCGGAAAGTTCGTTGAAATACAGGTTGCTGGGCCCCATTCTCAGAGTTTCTGATTGTGTAGGTCTGGGGTGGGACCTGAAAATTTGTGTTTCTAACAAGTTCCCAGCTAATGCCAATGTCGCTGGTCCAGGGATCACGCCTTGAGAAGCACGAGATTAGCTCATCCTTCCCTAAAATCCTCTATAAATTCTGATCTGCTGATGTTAGGGACATAAGGTCACTCTTCTATCTCAAGACAAAACCACACACAAATGAAATTCATAAAATTCCCTTAAAATGGTTTAGATCCCATTTGTTCCCTGGCATTTCATCACCTTAATTTATGTCTCTCTAATACAAGGTGGAAAACACAATTTCCTTAAGATGGAAAGATTCACAAGTGCCCCCCACCCCCGTCCTCCGCAGCATCCGTTGTATCAGACTCAGCACCCCCTTGCTAATGATCAGGCACAAATAAATCCTCAAGCACAGTCAGGAGTGTCAAAGCTTCTCGTCACAGCCCTCCAGGAGAATGGGCTGGCTGATGGGATGCAAGGTCACATCTGGCTTTGAGGAATAAATTGCTTCTTTGATTTACCTCTGGTCCTTGCAAGAGTTCAGAGAATTCAACTGGTTTCGAATATAAATCCAAAAGAAACACTTCCAGGAAAAAACAGCCCTTTTATCAGCACTGCTTATCAGTTTTGTAATATTAGGAACTGCAGCGGGACCTAAATAAAGTCTCGTAAAACCTTTATTTACACCAAACACTTGGTTCCTCTGATTGACGTGAAGGCTGTGCTTGCATTTGATACAATCCAGGGTGGAAGACAAGTGGAAAGAACGGATTCGTGGGAATAATAATAAAAGCAAATGTTATAGACTACTTCTACTTCCATTATTGAATGTCTGGACGCTGTATGTTCTAAATGCTTACAAAGATGACCTCTTAAAGTAGGCACTGTTGTTATTCTGATTTCAAAGATTAGAACCTGAGACCTGGAGATGTTCAGCAATTAATTGCCCAGGGTCGCATGGCCTGCCAGTGGTGGAGTCTGCATTCAGGCCCGGGCAGGCTGCCTTCAGAGCTCAGATTCTTAGCTAAGATCGGCTTGGCCACCACCTGTGTGGCTGTGGGCACATTGCTTCCCCTCCCTAGTCTGTGTCTTTGTAAATGCAAAACAAGGGGGTCAGACAGTAGAAAACTGGTGGCCCATGGGTCATATCCAGTCTGCATATATTATTTGTTTGGCCCTCATGGTGTTTAAGTGTTTTTTTTTTTTTCTTTTAGTTAGATGTCAACATTTAAAAACCAAGAAATTATATTATACATGAAGAAGTTTTGGGTTCTATTGAAAAACCGGAAGATATGGCCACAGTGGTTGCTACAGTTTGAATGTTTGTCCCCTCCAAAACTCGAGTTGAAATTATTTAATTGCCATCGTAACAGTATAAAGAGGTGGGACCTTTAAGAGTTGATTAGGTCGTGAGGGCTCTAGCCTCATGGGTGGGACTGGAGCTGTGATAGAAGGGACAGTTCTGCCTCCTCTCTCTCTCTCACTCTCTCACTTTCTGCTGTAGAATGATGCAGCACGAAGGCCCTTGTCAGATGCCAGAACTTTGATACTGGACTTCCCAGCCTCTAGAACGGTAAGGCAATAAATTCCTGTTCGTTATTGTTAGTAATTCCCCAGTCTCAGGTATCCTGTTACAGTAGCACAAAATTGACTGAGATAGAGGTCCTTCCTGTCTGTCAACGATTGGCTGGCAGGCAGAACAACCAAGTGGCTAGAAGATGGGACTCTGGACCCATCCTGCTGTATTAGGATCCCGGGTCTTCGACATAGTAGCTGTGTGATTTAAGCAAGTTACTGAACTCTGTGCCATGGTTCTTCATCTATAAAACTGTGGGCTAACAACTTCACCTTCTTCATGGGTTATTATGAATTTAAGATGAATTATAACAGTGCGTAGCCTTAGCACATATATTAATAGTTTTTCGAAGGGACTGAGTCAATGTAACTCTTTTATGCTATCCACCTGTCTCTGCAGGCAGTTTATTTTGTGATACTGAGACCAGATGTTCTCCTTTTAGCTCTGGTGCCAATAAAGTAGTACAGGATTTGTGCTAACAGAATAGTCTAGGCCTCAAATTTTCTTAAGTCAACTTTTTGTTGAGACTGTCTACCCAAGCTGAGACCTCACGAATCCAGACAATTTAGTTAAAAAGCAAAAAATAAACCCATACCCCAACACTTTCAGTATTTAGGATAAAAAGCAAATTTTGGAAGGGGTGAGTCTGATATAAACAATAGCTATTTTTAAAGAGTCAAATTCTCCATCAAAGATCACTCTGCCGTTGTAATTAGATTTGTATTTTATTCAGCCTATAATACCACCCCTATAAGTGACATGAGGGAGGGTTTCCTGAGATATCCTGGGAGGTGCCATATATGCGTGTGGGCAGGGGGCACATGTACACACAGTTGTTCCTTGTATCTGGGGGTGCTCAAGTCCCTTCTATAAAATGGTGTAGTATTTACATATAACCTAAGCACATCTTCTCATATATTTTAAATCATCTTTAATTATAATACTTAGTACAAGTGTATGCTATGTAAATAATTGCTACTCTATATTTTTTAAAATTTTTATTATTTTTGTGTTATTTTTATTTTTCTGAATTTTTTTTTCTTGAGAGAGGGTCTTATTCTGTCACCTGGGCTAGAGTGCAGTGGCATCATCATAGCTCACTGCAACCCCGAACTCCTAGGCTCAAGGGATCCTACCGCTTCAGCTTCCTGAGTAGCTGGGACTATAGACATGCACCACCACAGCCAGCTAATTTTTCTATTTTTGTAGAGACCAGGTCTTGCTTTTTCTCAGGTTGGTCTCGAACTCCTGACCTCAAGGAATCCTCCCGCCTTGGCCTCCCAAAGTGCTAGGATTACAAGCATGAGCCACCGCACCCAGCCTTTTTTCTGAGTAGTTTTGATCCATAGTTGGCTGAATCCGTGGATATACAGAACCTGCAGATACAGAGGGCCAATTGCATATATATTTAAATTACATATCCCAAAACATTCATATGTATGTGTAGCAATTCAATTTCTATAGCCAGTTACATGAGATTCTTTGGAATCTAACTGAAGAGGTATAGGGAGTCTGCCTCTCCACTCCCTGCCCTAAAAATAAGGGAAGTGATCAAGTTGGAAATTAAGAACGACTCAGAAAGTGTCCTTTCCTAGCACCTGTTCTAACTTTGGTACCCACTCTCTTTCCTCTGCTGTCACCACGTGTGGTTCCTGCAGCATTTCACACACTTGATACCCACCCATCACTCACGCTTCCTTGGATGCAAAATTCCCAACATAGAGATAGTCTCGACTACATCTAGAAGATATAATGAACCAACATAAAAAGACATGTTTGGAAAAAATATCTAAATCTATGGTTATCATCTAGTCTGCTCATATCTGAAACTTCAATTTGTTCCAATGTCTTATTTTATTTCTATAGAAATAAAAGCAGTTTCCCTAAATCCTACGCTGAGCCCAGCAGATCTTTCCTCGGAGGTCAAATGCCCTTGTGTTTGTCCTGATCCGCTTTATTCCCACCAAACATCCTGGCTGATTTTATGCTGCTCAAGCGAATCTTCTGGATGTCTGCAGAAGTGTCTGTTGAGGTAGTAAATGTAAGATAGACCTTCTTGGAAGGGTGCTACCAAGACAAGCTCATATGAGTCTGCCACTTCTTTGCAGGAGTGCAAAGAAGTGGCAACGGAATAATAATTGTTACTTAGTTTTTCTTCTAAAAATGCCTGTAATTTCTCAGACACAGTTCCCTGAAGCAGACCGGCTTTATCGATCCCTGCCCCTGAGAAAGGCGAAGGCACTCCACAGCACTGTACTCGATGGGCTTCTATTTTTGCACCTGTAAAGTGATCTCTGGGATCGCTCGCCAAACTAACGTTTTGCCTGGCTGCTCAAAAGCTTCAGGTAGCTCCCTGGTCATCAGTTTTATTTTAGCAACAGCTTGAAAAGGAGCTTAAAATTTAGTTAAAGGTTTGTCCATGGAGCTTGTGCAGTTCCCAGGGACTCCTAAAGCTTACTGTGTTTTTATTGTGCTTTCTTCTACCTGGTCTACTGGGTGTAACTGGAAGCTGGGAGGAAAAACTTTTCTCTTGTAATTTTTTACTCTCTCCCTTGGTTTGGTTGAAATAGTTTTGCCCACATCCCGTCTGCTTTTGCTTGTTGTGGTAATCAAGGTCAAGGTGATCAGGCAGTGTTAGCCTGGGTTGGAAATCCAAGGTTGCAAAGGTCTGTCTTCATTCTAATCTTTCTTTTCTTCATTTTAGTTTTCTCTTCCCTCAACCATCTTCCAACTTACTCAACCCCATGTCTGTTTTATCATAGACAAAACTGATCAGATAAACTCTTTCACATTATTTCACACCAAGAGGTTAATGATCTAGGAGTTTAGGATGTGAGATCTCCATTCTAATACAACTTACACTCTAACATGACAATAGGGAATGGATCCTTGGCTGGAGAAATAATGGTGACAATTCAAGCACGGTTCTCTGGAAGCCCATAGTCTGGGAACTTAAAATAAGTCATCAGTTAATTAGCATCTACCCAAGAGGATGCAAAGTACTTTTTAAAATCTGGAAATTAGAAGGAGCTCTAGCCATCGGGGAAGGCTTCTATGCTGAGACCTGAAAGCTGAGTGGCTCTTTGGGGACACATAGGGTGGCAGTCAGGGAAAGAAGGAACAGATATGCAAAGGGTCAGAGAAAAATAAAGAAACTGGAAATTTCTCCTCTGATTTAAAAAAAAGTAAATGCAGTCCTAGAGAGTTGAAGTGATTTACCTAAAGTCACATATTCAATAGAGAACCAAAATATGGATTTTCTATCTCTTTATCCTATATTATTAAGATCCTCCCAGAAGAGTTTGGTTTTAAAAAGGACCCAGTGAAAGTTCTACAGAGGAGTTCTTAGGGAATGTTTCTCCACAGGTAGAATACAGGTCACTGTGCCATAAGGATGAAGGAAAAATAGTCCATGGCAGGGAGGGTCTTCTGAGTTTTTCTCTATGAATATTATCCAAGGCTCTACCACCTTATACATCAGCTCCTAATTCCAGCCCTTGCTTTACCTACTGCTTTCCAGTGATGCCGTGTTCTTTAACGAGTACCTGACAGCACTGCCTATCTGCTACCTCAACAGCTCTGTACAAAAATGTCACAAGCTGGCAGCCTACAGGCTTAATTCAGACTGCATACCAATTTTATTTGGCCTGTATTCCATTGCCTCAAATGTTGTTTAAAAGCAAAACAAAACAAAATTAGAGGAGTTGCCAACATTTAAAAATTGAAAAACTTTACGTAATAATCCATTTTTCCATTTTTCCTGCCATCTTTTGAAATGTTGACATATCTGGGGCATTGTGCCCACTTTTTCACAAGGCAACAGAGGCAGGAAGTTAGTAGCAGCTGGTGCATTTTGACAGCAGCACACTCTCTAGTTGGCTATAGCTTCCACCTGCCTGCTTCTGCCACTTATGTCATCTAGCGTACACATCTTTGCAATCCTTTTATTTATTTTGTGGTAGATAAAAGATCAGTTCACAAGACCCCAGAAAAGTTTGACTGCCAAGCTTTCCTATTTGAAAACATTTTCAAAATCATAGGTTTGGTTTTATAATCTTCCTTTTATTTATTTTTGTATTTCATATTTTTTTTAGAGACAGGGTCTTGCTATGTTGCCCAGGCTGAACTCAAATTCCTGGGCTCATGTGATCCTTCCGCCTCAGCCTCCCCAGTTACTGGGACTCTATAGGCATGTGCCACCATGCCCATATTTATAATTTTCTTTTTATAATGAAATCTACGGGACAGTTCATTGAAATCGTAAGAACTATTTTTCTTTTGAATACAAAACCACCGAAGGTCAAGAACATTGTTAACATAGCCCAGTGATTATGGTTTCTCAAAAGCTTTTTGAAAGTCATTTACTCATAACATTCTAGCACTAGAAAGGGAACAAAATGCCATATAATTTAAATATCCACATTATATTTCCTTTTCTAACATCTCCTTGGGGGTGGTGCAGCTAACATTTGATTATTTGCAGTGATGGAGAACCCTCCGCTCTCCTTGAGAGTCCACTTTTGAAGAGTTTTGGCTATTAGAAAGCAAAACTGAGCCAAAATATCCCCATGTAGCTTTCACTCATTGGCCATAGTTTTATTCCTTGTAACCTTGAGGAACAATTCTACTTGTCGTTCCTTACAATAGCCCTTTAGATATTTCAAGCGGTTATTGTGCTTCTGAGACTTGTTTATCCAGCTAAATATCCTCGGTTCCTTCGTTCATCCCTCACAGATTTGTCAACCTCCTGATCACAGTGTCTCAATGCACGCTGTGGTCTATAAATATAGCCATCATCTGTTCTTTCCCTGTCTGCACAAGCAAGTTGCTCCTCACACCGAGAGGTAGAATCCATTTCCCCTCCGTTTGAATCTGAGCTGGCCTCACAGTAGACAGTTTCATCTTTAGCTTTTAAAAGGACTGGCAGCTTCTGCTTTCTCCTTCTTGAGGCCAGCAACCATGTAAGAAGTCTGTCTACTCTGAGATCACCATACTGTGAGGAAGCCCAAGTTACCCGCGTGGAGAGGCCTCATGCAGAGATGATCCCTGGCCAGCCTCCAGATCTTCCAATCATTCTAAGTGAGAACCCAGAAGTATGTGAAGAAGCATCTTAGTCATTCCAACCTGAGAAACTGCCTATTTTGGTCCTGTCCAGATTGTAGAATCATGAAACATGATATGTTATTATTGTTTTAGCCCCTAGTTTTGGGGTGGTTTGTTAGGCAGAAGTAGGTAGCTGAAAACCTTGTCAAGATATTTATAACCCCTTTTATTTTACTTTATTTTTTTTGAGACAGAGTCTCACTCTCTTGCCTGTGCTAGAGTGCCGTGGGGTCAGCCTAGCTCACAGTAACCTCAAACTCCTGGACTCAAGTGATCCTCCTGCCTCAGCCTCCCAGGTAGCTGGGACTACAAGCACGCACCACCATGCCCGGTCAATTTTTTACTGTTTTTAGTTGTTTGGCTAATTTCTTTCTGTTTATAGTAGAGACAGGGTCTTGCTCTTGCTCAGGTCGGTCTCAAACTCCTGAGTTCAAGCAGTCCTCCCGCCTGGGCCTCCCAGAGTGCTAGGATTACAGGCATGAGCCACTGCGCCCGGCCTATAACCCCTTTTAATTATGGCAGTGAGATTATATATACGTTCTATTCACTTTCTCTTTAAAGATAGGCCAATATTTATGGGATCAGGCCAATAAATTTTCGAAAAAATTTGCTTTTTCTATATAAACTACAGAAACATGAACAAAAATGATTAATCATTTGTAATATTGGGAAGTTACCATTGTTGATTTAAAAAAATACTGAAGCAAGAAAAAAACAAAGCTGACAATAGAAATGTTTAAAAAGCGGTTCTTCAGGATTTTTGCCTAACCCTTTTTTAGGTGATTGTCTAAATCTGGGCCAGTTTCCATAGACCACTTATAAGACTCAGACCAAACCACTTTGGGGGCAGCGATTCCTAAAGAGGCTGGAAGAGCATCAGAGAACGTGAGAATATGAATCGATCGTATGATTCATGTAAGCAACTATCCCCACTAATGCAGGATTAGGTGCCTTTGCAAAAAAGAAATTACCCACTTTGTATCCTTTTACTTCCGACTCATTATCCAAGGCCTTCACTTGATCCCAATTCAGGATAATTTTGGAGTCCGATGAATTCCATATGATGTTTCCGGGGGGCTGACTCGGTGCTATAAAAAAATTAAGATATACGAAGTCACAGATTATTAAGTCTCAATGGATTCTGAGGAATATCTCCTTACTAGAATTTGAGAGTGGAGACAATTTAATGGGCTATTGCACTAATATGTGTCTTCAAGGTCACTAAAATCTGATGAGATACAGCACTGCAAATGGAAAAAGATTCAGTTGGTCGCCTAACATTTATAGCTAAGAGAAGTTAGCCCTTCCCAGTGAGGAGAAAAACATTTATCTTTCTGTCCTCCGGAGCAGTGAATTTTGCATGGTATTCGGAAAGGTTCAGTTAAAATGTTAAGGTAAATTTGAAACCACATAATGTTACCAATTAGTATGCAAATGATCATTGGGAGGTGGGGACAGAAAATGAACTTAGGATATGTTTGATGCATCCCCCAAATATTTCTGAGCAAGTTTGTTCTTACGTGGCTTCCTGGTTGTCACGTTGACTGTCGCACTAGAGGGGCCTGTCCCAGCGGAATTATATGCCTTGACAGCTAAGTGATACAGTGCACTGCCTTTTAAGTTGGTGATTTTTGTTGATGTCTGATTTCCAACTGTTCGTATTTTTCTAGCATTTTCTTCCTTGTCTTCATGTCTCCAATATTTAACCTGAGAAAATAAAAAGAAAGACCTTGGAAATCACACCCACTGGGCATATTTCCAGTGTCACTGGGTAGTAATTTTTTTATGCAGATTTTTATGCTAGAGTTAGTTTTCTATGCCAATTCATGAAGCAGAACAGAAAACTTGGTATGTTCTATGAAATTATCCACAGTAAGAAGGGTCCCTTTTCTCTTCTTTGCTTCCTAGTGAGATGGTAAATCGGCACAATCCTTGTTGGTTATTTCTTCCTTTTTTCCCCACATTTGTTTTGAGCTCAAGTGAACCCCGGGCATATCAGAAGTCAAAGCTCATTTTGTCGACCATCTCATAAACGCTTAGACTTGCATGTATTTTGAAAAATACCTCTAGAGTGTAACACAGGAAAAGGGTAGCCTCACAGCTGAATGTTCAATGCTTCCATAAATGCTCAGCTAGAAGCCAGGCCTGGGTCTTTTCTCATCAAAGGGTGTCTTGGAGGCCTCACTGAGGGGTATAGACTCTTTGCCAGACCCAAGGCACATATCTCTTGCCTACCTCATAACCTTGTATGCGTCCTCTATTCTTTTCCAGCGGGGAGGCCCAGAAAACTTCAATGTCTGTGGCAGAAAGACTTCTGGCAAAGATGCTGGCTGGTGGTTTGGTGGGTTCTGCAGATAAATGTGGAAAAAGTTAATACTCTATCAGCTATATCTGGACAGGCTTCTTGATACTGGCATTACAAGGTACAACAAATTCACGGTTATAGAATCATCCTTAATGATTGTGAGACAAACTTTCATTTTGCAGAGGAGCAGTGATTCACAGCTGCGGGTTGGTGAGAGTGAAAACTTGTCCAAAGTCTTTTGGTTTTAAATTTGGGGGTGGGTGGAACAGAAGTAACCCAGAACTATTTACGTTTAAGCACCAAGTTTTCACAGCCAGCAATTCCCTTAACACAGATCCTTCTTAATTAGCATTTAATGAAATTTATTGCTTGCGACATGGCGAAACTACGTTTTTCTTCGAGAAAGACCCATGAAAGGAAAATGTTAACATATACAAATGGTACACAGTTGTGGCAGAATCTGGCAAAAATAACTGAAATCTGGGAAGTCCAGCCTCTCCTTTGCGGCTGACGATGCTGAGGCCCGGAGGGTATATACTTGTCCAAGCTCATACAGGTTGCAACGTGGAACTGAACTGTCACCCAGCTCTCCTAAATTTTAGCCAAGTCACTTGACGGCCCCTTTTCCTTGTCTCTCTCATTTTCATAATCCAGTGACTGGGACTATCACCTAGGGGAAGATGAAGCATGCACAAGGGGCTGAAGCTTGTTTGGATCATTGTAAATCCTTTGGATTTGGTTGGAGCATGGAGTATGCAGGGAAGGGCATCAGGTGTTGGCGCAGACAGAAGCAGGGGCCAGATAACGGAGGACTACTGAATCTAAGGGGATGATTTCTCTACTTGGGGAGAAGAATTTCTTGCGTCTTCACTGACTCCAAATCAATGACTCAACTTTCAGATTTTTTTTTTTTTTTTTTTTTGACAGTGTCTTGCTCTGTTGCCCCAGGTATAGTGTAGTGGCTTCATTGTAACTCACTACAACCTCAAACTCCTGGGCTCAAGTGATCTTCCTGCCTCAGCCTCCCGAGTAGCTGGGACTACAGGCTCATGCCACCACGCCCAGCTAATTTTTCTATTTTTAGTAGAGACAGGGTCTTGCTTTCACTAGTCTCAAACTCCTGAGCTCAAGCCATCCTCCCTCTTCAGTCTCCCAGAGTGCTAGGATGACAGGCGTGAGCCACCGGGACCGGTCTCAGATGTTTTAATATGGTATCATTCTGAACATCGTCTTTAAAACAACATAGATGAACTCCGATGGTAATGAACACTGTGTGAGAGGCATCCTGAGAGCAGACACAGCATAGAAGTGAAAATAATGTGTGAGAAACATTAAACATAATGACAGCTTGGATGACAATGAATGCAATCACACTGCTTCATGACTTGCTCTTTTCTTCAATAAGTTAGAATAAATTAAAAGTACAATATGATTTATGAAAATACAAGTGCTGAGATAAAATGTGAAGCACGTTTTGATATTCACTTAAAGGCATAACGTAAAATCCTTTTAAAAGTAATAATGACATGCATATATAGATATGAGGGTCTTATGGGGTATTTGCAATTCGGTCCTTAGCAATGGAATTAATGATGGCAGCCATGTGTTTTTATATACAGTGGAGTTGCTGTCTTTTCAAGAGATTAGTGATGGATAATGAACCAAATTTTTTACATTATCCTTTTGTCAAATCAGGGTATGCCTTCGATTTATATGTACAGTGCTAAATTGATTATACATCCTACAATATTTCAGAATTGAAGAAATATCAACTGTTGAGGCAGCATGACTCCTACCTTCTTCTGCAGAATACACCACTGTGGTTGGGCTGAAGGGGCCTTCTCCTTTATTGTTGAAGACACCCACTTTAACCTCAAAGGGAGAGAAGGGGCGCACGCTCTCATTCCTGAACACGTATCTGGAGGCATCGGCAGAGGCCAGCACCGTCAGCATCCAGATCATTTTGCCATAGGGCCGGAAGGCCACCACGTAACCAAAGCCTCTCCCGTTTTGTAACTCCTCAGGGACTGTCTGGGAAAGAAGGGAGGTGGTCTTCAGAAATCACAGCAGTTCTATTCAAATGTGGAAATCGTTCCCTCCAGCCTCAACATTCTTGTCTACATTCTGCCCTACTTATCTTATTTTGGGTTTTGTGAGGAGTCTTTTAAATCTAGGGCTTGTGGTCAGGCTACTTTAAACACTCATGTGGTATTGGACCGACAGCAGGGTTAACAAACAAAATGAAGATCTGCAGTTCGGAGCCTGGCTCTTTGATGGGGCACGCTTTGAACTAAACTAGTGGCAAATGATTGTGAAAGAACCTGGACATCAGTCTCCTAAAAACCAACATTTCCGAAATGTGCCATCTAATACTCATCTCCTCCCTCCAGTGCAAAACAGACGAATGATCTCACTGAAGGAATAAAGACCATTTTGGCTGAGGTGAGATCCTCCCTCTCGGAAGGCAAGAGTCCAGCTGGAGGGGTGCGGGATTTCTTTCATTGCTGTGCTCTGGGTAAATGAAAGATTTTAATTCTGGGGCTGTTGTCTAGATTCTTTCAAAAAACATTAAGAATCCTTTTCTAAAGCTCCCACCTCCTCTCAAAGTCAATACTTAATAAATTGGTGACTAACTTTCCTCCAGGTTGTTTAAAAGAACACATCCTAAAAGAGGGCTCCAGAAGCAAAGTCAATTGCCAAGAAATCACGCTAGCACACTGAATCTATTGCTGGCAGACGTTTAAATCAATTGGTGATGCAGGAATTCAGGAAGAAAAGAAAAACTGGTTTTCTCTGAACTAGCCTAAATATATATATATATATATATATTTTTTTTACTTGTGTTGTCTTGCCTTTCATGACTGTTTTTCCTGTGGTGAATCGAAGCTTGCCTCTACAATTGATGGGCAAGTACGTCTTTTCCTGCTGGCCATTAGCTATACGAAAAGGGAGTGTTTGCACTCAAATGGACTTTAGCTGTTACATACAGAGGAGGGAATTTCCCAGCTATGTTTAACAAGGAGGAAAATAATAAAATAGCTCAGACAAATGTATGTTCCTTTCATTCTGTGATTCATTTACCTCCCAGGTTATAACCAGTTCGGATTTGCTGCCTCCTCCACCACTGACGTTAGCCGGGGTGACTTCAGGGACTGCGCAGGAGACAAAAAACACGTCATGTCAAATGGCAAAGTCGAATGAGGGTCAGGAAGGTTGCCTGGCCGAGGTGACTCACTTTCAAAGAGTACCATGATGCAGAGTATACTGTGTATACCTTTGTCCTTTGAGATTAGAAACATCGTCCCCAAGGGGCCCACGGCATCAGCTTGAGGAAGTGAAACATACCAAGGAAATTGCTATTAATTACCTGTTTCCCATTCAACAAGGTACACATGTTATCCGACATGTCTGAACAATTGTTCAGCTCAATCCCTAGAGGCCGAGAGGTTCCTGGGAAGAGGAAAGGACTGAGGTTCTGGTCCTAATGCATTTATTAACCATGTGGTGGTACACAAAGGAAAGATGGTACAAACTCTGCCCCTGCAGAGCTTACAATCCGGTTGGCGGGCAAGAGCACACATAGCATGACTACAGAGCAAGGCTGACAGCAGACAAGAGTAGGGCACAACAGCATGGAGAAGTGCAGTGGTGTTCTGGAGTAGCAGGCTTCTCAGAGTGGGGGTGACAATGGTTTCTCGGAGGAAGGTGAGTTTTGAGCTGGGTGTTGAAGGAAGTGGTGGACATGGGTTGACCCCTGGATCACTGTGTTTAACCTCTTTGATCCTCAGTTTTCTCTGTAAAAGAGGGGAAATTATGCTAGCTTCCTTCTCAGGGTTGCTGAGAGGAATTAATTACAGTTCGGTAAGGGGCAGAGAAAGCATGGGATTAGCTATGGTATCATCATGTAACTGAAGGACTCCAGACAGAATATAAAAATGTTTCACTCAGGTATGTAGCTGGTGACTGGGGATGTCCGCTCTTAGTTAAAGCCAATGACATGGATCTAGGTGGATTTTTTTTTTTTTCCTGAGAATAGGATTAGAGCTCTCATTTGCTTAGAGACTTTGCTATTCCTTTAACACACCGGCCTCTCCAGAGCTGGAAACTCTACAAAGACCATACATGTAGGCCTCTGGCTTTACATTAGAGAAATAAAATTACGACTGACTCAGACAAATTTGTTATTCTCACCCTGTGCTCACTCAAGCTATGTATGCAGAAGGCTGTGTACTAAATTACTGACTGGTCTTGTATGAATTAGCAGGATGTTCTGAATCATAGCTTTTGGGAACAGTTTATACCCTAAGAAAATCTTAGTGAACATTTCTAAAGAAGTTATTCTTTGCCATTAGTGCTTTCTGTGAGATGATTTTATTTGAAGTGTGGGGTATTTAAAAAAAAATCCTGTTAGGGGCATCTTGGTGACAAATGAATCGATGAAGAAAGAGTTGGCTTTTGAGAGAGCCCAGCACAGTGTGTTCCCTGCTCTATAAGTGGACCCAATGAAGAAAACTTCACTCTTGATTGAAACTCATTGCCTGTGAAGCTTAGCTTCTACTGGCCTGATTTCTGATCATTATAATCATTTAAAGGAAGGGTGTGTGAATACAGAGGCTCGTTAGGGCTGAAGAGCAGCAAGAAGTCAAAGCCTTTCCCTGAGGAACAGATGCTGCCGGAACAGATTGTATCCTGGGTGCTACTCACGGGCTTCTTCCGTCCTCCGTTTCTCTGAGGGACGGCTGGGCTCCCCAATCCCAATCACATTGGCTGCAACCGTGCGGAATTCGTATTCCACCCAAGGGTTCAAACCCACCACAGTCGCTGTGAATGTCTTCCCATCGATGAGTTCTGGGACTGAAAGACATCAAAAGGAGGGGGGAGAGGGGACTGCTTCATAGGACTCTCAGAAAACGAATGCAGAGACAGTGTTAGGAAGAGCGGAACATCACCATGATCGTCGTTGTATGAAGGGCAGTGTAGGTGGTCTGATAGTAGCTGCACAAACAGTCATTACAGTGAGGTAATCTCAGAACTATCTATGTAGGTCAAACTAATAAATCAGATTCCAGCAGATGACGCCAACATAAAAGACACAAAGTCCTCAAGACCCAAAGCTACTTGACTGTAATCATTATTGCTATCACCTGTTTTTCAGCATTTATAATTTAGTGCCAGACACATTGTTTAATTCTTACAGCTATCCCATGAACAAGGTAAAATTATTATGTTCATTCTTAAACAATTCTTAGTGCACTAATTTAACAAAAGAGGAAAATGAAGATGTACAGAGATCAGCTCATTAGCAGCCAGGATTAGGATTCATCTCCTAACTTCCAGATTTTTCTCATCTTTCTTTCCTAAAGCACTCCTGTGACTCAGCAGAAACTCAGTGATTACAGCAGGAAACACAGAACCCCATTTCTGAGGATCCATAAGCTAAAATGAATAAAACAAATTGGGGTTGTTAAAATCAACAACAATTCATATGTATTGCATAAAACTGGGCAGGTCACTCCATTTATTTCTCCTTCAAAACATCAAGGCCACACAGTTAAGCGTTAGGGTCTAGAGGAGTGTGTATCTTGCTTATAATTACTTGTTTGTCCAGTTTTTCTCCAAATGAAATCTAAATTAAATAATGAGTTGATTTGGAGGTATTGACAGAAGTGAGAATGGTACAAGAATTGTTTAAGACCCAAAGAGAAATGACTATGAAACTTTTCAAAAAAATAGGAAGTGCTGTATAAATATAATAAAGGAAAAGGATGAAAATGTTGCTGCTAACAATGGTTTAAAAAAAAAAAACTTGAATCTATAAAATTGGTTTAAAAAACCCTTCATACCTTTTTATCCCCAAATTCATCCATCTAAAAAAATGGGCAACAAGAGACTCTCTACGGTCCTTAGTGACAGGTTCTTGAGAGCAGTGTATAAACTTTGCAAAGACTGGGATTGCAGTCCGGCAGATTCCACTGTTTCCCAAAGTGTACCACAGGGAAACACAGACGATTTCAGGTAACACACGGATTGAAGCATTTTATTTTTATAACTAATGTACTTTTTAGTATGTGTTAAGATAAAATATATAACCAGCACAACAGATGCATCATTGCACAGATGTTGCTTAGGATGAGTTAAAAAACAAATGTGAGTTGATATCCAGAAAAATATTAAATGAAAGATAGTACAGTGGGCTGAGGTTTGGGAAACGGCCATGATGTATCATTTATATCTGTGTCTGAATGAGAACCTAGATGTCTGTTGGCATCTATGACAGTGCTTTGTGCATTATGCTGAGTTCCAAAAGGAACCAAGCATCTGGTATGGTACCTGTATTGACTGCTTGCCAGCCCACGGAGAACGGAGTCCTGGCTTGGATGACATACATGGTGATGGGGCTATGGTTGTCAGGCCCGGGTCTCCAGGACAGCTGAGCAGTGGTGTCTGTGATTTCATCTATGGTCACAGCCTCGGGGGGACCTGGGGGACCTGGGAAAGAGCAAGGTGCTCAGAATTGGAGCAGTGTGTTCAAATATCTACGTAGATGATCCACTTACTTGAACGGGCGCTGACCCATTCAATCATCTATTGACTGATGCATGGATCTATTACTTGTGAAATCCTTTTTGAACACCTACTAGATGCTGGGAACTCTGCTGGGCTCCGAAGCCACAGAAACCACAGAAATGTATGAGACACAGCCGCTTCCTCCCTGAGGCTCATAGTACGATAGGAAGAACTAAATATAAACAAAGAATTACAACAGAGTATTTGTTTTGATGTTAAAAATACTGGCTACCATAAGGGCCCAAATTCATTAATTCATTCATCATATATTTGTAGATTTCTACTGTGGGTCAGGCACTGTTATCTGGGGACAGAGTCATGAGAAAAGATAGATACTGCTCCTGATTTTATGAAGATTACAGTCTGCTGGAAATGGTCATTTCTACCACTGGGAATATGGATTTGGGCAGAAATGGCTTTGAAATTTTGGAAGTCCCAGTGTTGCTCTGCGCATTCCTCTGCACTGTAATTGCTAACACTCCCCTCACCCCCCACCCCGTATCCAATAGGAGCACACACTTGTGTGCAAGGGAACTGCTGTGAAAATGGACAGTGCTCAAGAGTCACAAGGCTCTCCCTTCTTCAAAGCAATTTCAAAATTGGGCTGGAGTCTAAACACCCTCATTTGTAGTTTCTGAAAGTCAAGCCTGTATTTTTCTACTTATCTTCCTGATGTTCATTGTTTCTTTCCTTGTACTTAAACCATTGAAAGGGGAGGAAATCAGATTTAGATGAGGGCTTGAGAATCAGAAAAGAAATTGAGGGATGGAAAGCGGTTGGCAGGCAAAGACAAAATAGCAGCGGAGCCGGAGCAAAGACCCAACGCTACCCCAGCTTCCAACACGAAAGCTCTTACCAGGCAATTAAATGCATTTTTAACAAGGCACAATTGAACACCTCAGGAGAAAAGGTGATTTTTGAGGGGACATAATGACTAGCCCCATGCCCATTCAACAGGCATAAGAAGATATTCCCAGGAGGGATTTACTAATCCCCAGTATAGCAATCAAATGTACTACCAAAATACTATAGGGCCATGTCACGGGGACAGGGAAAAGAGACGTCTCACAGAGTGGTGAAAAGTTAACAGCACTTTCCTGAAGTTAGACTTTGTTCTAGAATTCACTCCTTTACCCTTTATACGATGCCCTAAATTCTCTTTCCTTTTTTAAAAATCATTTTTATAGACACACAGGTGAGACTAAATTTATCTTCTCCCTCCCACTCCTGAATGAAATGTCTGAAAATCTGTAAGCTGGAACTGATTAACTTTCCACGGTGACATTTCAGCATGTCAATCTAATGCTATCTAGATAGGGTTGATGTAACCTTTGGTCTTTGGGAATCTTTTTAACTAGATAAGGTCCAGAAGACAATATAATCTTTTTTTTCTTTTCCTTACCAGCTTTCTCATCCTAGCACTCCCTATTTTTTTCTTTATGGATGCTGCTTCAATGGCCTTTAAAATCTAAGTACCACAAATAGAAAAGTGTTCCCCTGTGAACTTGTCAAAGAATTCGATCGATAGGAAGTATCTGAGCCTGTTGTTGGCCACCATGTAGAAAGGAAATGAAGGGCTGGTGTGAATTTGACCATTAGAGAGAAGATGGTATTTTCCTGGGTCTGTTGGTCTTTATCTCCCTGCATCTCCCCCCACCACTGTGCAGAGATGCCCTTGCAGAATGTTTACTAACTTGGTTTTAGGGAAGTCGGGTCCCTCTTTCAAAATGACAAAATGTGCAAATCTTTGGCCTCTGAACAAAATGAGAACATGCTCAGAGGCCCCTACAAGTTTTTGTCCCAGGTAACGGCAAAGGGAATATTGGTTTCCTGTGTCTGCCTCCTGCTGTAGCTGCCACTAGAGTGCTATAGGTTAAATAGAGCGGGCGTCAGAGAGTGAGAGAAGCCAGAGCCAAGACTCAAAGCTGTTCTAGTTTCAAATACGAAAATCTCTTACGGGTGGTAAAATACATTTCTGCCTTTGCTCTGTAATGTGGAGAAAAGCTGCAAGGGCAGAGCAGGAGGAGATAAAAGGAAAGATTATGGCTTTAAATGGCACATTAATTTATTGGCCTTATTAACTGATTAGACTAGATTTTCTTTTACACTGCGTTTGCAAATTCCTCTTGGTATTTAGTGTTATTTTCTGTGAAATGAAGTATACAATACCATTTAAGAACTTCAAGTATTACTGATTTAAATATTTATTAGTCTAATTTATTGGTGTTTAAACTGCTGATCTGAACATTATCCTAATTAAATAGAGGATAAATTTCAGCAACAGAATTCTTTTGTCCCCAAGGGGAGAGCAGACCCATGCTGGTGTATTTTAAAATGCAAATAAACATGTTTCCATAAGTTATTATGTGGGCGGATCTACCTAGGTTGAAAGTTTTTCTCTTACCTAGCCCTTATTTGCACCATTACTGAAAGGGTTTTTAGGCAATTTAAAGGGGAACCAAAGCAGACATGATGGAATGCTATTTTTCTTGAACCTCTCTGGACAATTAGTTTCGGTTGCTAACTCCCACTCACTTCACCCCTCACGTTATGCAGAGAGGATATAGCAACACTTTTTGTTGCTTCCAACGATAGCTTGTTCCCTGTGCATTCAGATCCACCCTGCCTCCAATTCTGATACCCTAAATTTTTATTTTCTTGCATTCGAAGTTCTGCCAGGGGCTCAGCTGGCTGGCCAGAGATGCCTCAATACCAATAGTTAGGGATTCCAATGAAGGAGACAGTAGCCAAGAGATTATTTTGATGCTCTGTCCTGGCCTCACTTTTAGTACTTTAGAAAACTGCTGAGCATTCAGAGCTTTGATTCTAGTGTATACTGTGGTTCACAAATATTTTAATTTTCATTTAAAAATAGTTCTTAAGAGTCCGTTTACAGTTCTTTTACAAATAGGTGTGGTGAGACTTGGAATGCACTCGACTGGTGTGGCTCAGCCTGGTGGGCATAGCTGTGAGGTCCAAATTAGGCCATGTTGGTAGTGTTTGAGAGAATCTCACAGATGTTAGTTTTTACATCAACTCCCAGTTTATTTACTACATCTCAGGAAGTCAGGAAGTGTTTTCCCCCCAAAGCTCTATTTTAGGAACTCAACAGCACTATTAACTTGAGGGAAAGAAAGGAAGCTAAGAAAAACCTGATGATGATTTTACTTAATCCAATGTTATACCAGTGGCCTAAAATAAGAATTCAGTTTGGCCTGGGTGAGACATAAAAAGTCACAGTGTGATCCCTCTTTGAACTATTTGCTTTTGTTAATCTGAAGTTATTCTAAAAGGTCATATCAACTCCAACAGCCATAATCAGGGCACTCGAAGGAGTTATTTTTAGTATAAAGTAGCTGGATTTGCTCAGGGCACTTTGTGACAATCCCCTATGAGAAACTATACACACACGCAAAGCTTCTGTAGGTTGTAGCCACTGTTTACAATGTTCAGCTTCTGCCTGACTTTGTTCCATAATTCTAAACCACTAAAGTATTTAGAACTCTGTGCTAGAGGAGATATCACAAAAATACTTTAAGGACAAAAAAAAAATAAAATCCAATACCTCTTACAATCAGGTCTGCAGCGGCGGATAGCTTGTCCACACTCGTTTGGACCATGCAGACATATTTCCCAGCATGCTTCAGCTGAATGTTTCGGATCATCAAATCACCAGCTGAATCCTGCTGATAAAGTAGGGGAAAGTGGCTACAATTACTTTTTAATGAGCTCTAAATATCATTATCACATGAAGGACACTGTGACTAATGGATTTATTTTACACTGGCTGATGAAAACATTAGTGATGCAATCCATGGTCTATTAAAAATATGTGAGCCTGTCTGAGAGATAAGAACACCAGCATTTTCACTACACACCTTTGACAAGACCTCAGGTGTCTGGCTTCTCTGGGTCTCTGGAGCAGTTTGCCACCCATGTTGGAAGCATTTAAACTTATGTAAGGTGGCTCTTGATTTAGTCTTGTGGGTTTCTTCAGACGTGCCTTCAGCCTACAGCCTTCATTGGCATTCTAACACTTTGGAACTCTCTTATTTGGAAAAAGGAAGGAAGCCCACATTGGGAAGCATCTGCATTTTACTGCACAACCCTGTCTTATAGCCAGCATTTTGATTGCTCCCAGGTTTGAATTAAAGGATTATGAGGATCAGACTCTCCAAGGAAATCCTGCATCACCTACTATGGAACAGTGCTAATTTGTTTTCCAAATGCCAAATGCATGTTTGATGAGCAGATGAATAGGACTAATTACATCCTGGTATGGATGTCTCTGTGCCCCAGAAATATTTCTACACTGTTTTCCAGTACTTTTAATAAGTATGAGGAGATGCTTCCATAGGCTATCACAAAGACAGCACTTTAACTGAAGAACAGTGCTACACCTTGGAGTTTGGTTTCATAGCCCTGTTAATCAAAAGCTTGGAGAACAGCTGCTTCAGCAAGAGACCACCCTACGGGCCAGATTTGGGAAGCTACACTGCATTCTAAACCTCTCATGGATAACAAGATAATTTAGGGTATATTAGTCCACCCTCATTTTCCCATTCCAAACCATAGAGCCTATGTTGCTATTCCCCCAATGACAATAATAATGGATGATGCTTCATGGTATTGAGTATTGAGTACATGATTGGCACTTTCCACATGCGTTACTTATATTAACTCACGGAATACTCACACGTCTTATGGCACAGGTACTCTTGCTATCCTTATTTTACAGAGGAGGAAACTCTAGCACAAAGAGGCTAGGTGACTTGCCTAAAGCCACTTAGCTACTAAATGGCAGGGCCAGGATTTGAACCCACACAGTCAGCTTGAGTCCCTGTTCTTAATGATAATGCTATTAATATACTACCATCCAGAAAGGCTTTATCCTCATTCAAAACTAATGTGTATTTATCTTCCTTCCTTTGTTTAAGACAACACATCGCACTCAAATTTACCAAGGACAATGGAAGAGATGGAACTACCAATTATGATCAGGTTTAGAAGACAGGCAAAAGCATACCACGAAGGAAGAGCTGCAGTTTTGGTACTTAGTTGTTTGTCTTAGGTTGATCCCTGTTGTGTGATTTCATCTGTCTTTTAATCTCCCAGAAAAACCTTTGTGCTAGGTTATGAGAATCAAATGAGACTTTATGTGTATGTGAAATCCTTCTGAAAACTATGAAGCACAGAGTAAATCTAAACTGGTATCATTGATGGTCACGATCAATTTTCTTTGTGAAACAATCATGTCAAAGATATTAAATCAAATTTAGGAAAAGTTGTGATTTTTTTTTAACCCGGAAGCCCTTTTATTTATAACACATGGGTTCTTATCCAGATTCTTCTGTTTATTGATCAAGTCCTATAATTGCTCAGTAAAATGGGAAAATAATTGCTAACCTGTTTCATAGGGTTTCTGTGAGGATTAAATAGCTAGTTAACTCATCCCGTGGTATAAACAAGGGATTGGTTCCAGGACCCCAAGTATACCAAAATGTGTGCATACCCAGGTTCCACAGTCAGCCCTGCAGAACTCATATATATGAAAAGTCGGCCCTCTGTATTTGCAGTTTTAGCATCCTGCGAATACTGTATTTTCAATCATGTTTGGTTGAAAAAAATCTGCATATAAGTGGGCCTGCGCAGCTCAAACTCATCCAAGGGTCAACTGTATATAAGAAAGCACTTGATAACATGATTAGGTACTTTGCAAATATAAGAAATTATCATCATAATTATGATTTTTATTATTACTTATTTACCGAAGACACTTCACATGTTGGGACTTTGAGTATAGGTTCAAATAAAAAATATGCCTCACAAGAGACTGTGTGCAGGCAAGGTGAGAAACCACATTGTTTTTAAGGTGGGAAGTCAAATTCGCTTTAAGGCAATGCCTACACTATCTCAATAATTCATCTTATTCAGCAAAGGCTTGAATGTCAAAGAAATTTGTAGCCTGGATATTTCATAGCACAACAACCTATTTACAGAAATATGTGATTTTGTGAATTAGAATATACTCTAGTTATTTACAAATTCCGAACAGACTTGTATTTTTAAAGTAAAACTGAAACAAAGAAAAAAATAGTCGGGCCTGAGGTAAGAGTGTCTCACAGAAGGAGACCACAATAACTTTCTCTTTCTCTTTGAAGTTATCCAGACCAAACTGTTAACTAAGAGCTATATTTTTTTATGTTCCTAACAAAAAGAACACAATGACTTCAGCTTATTTTCCCACACGGTAGTTTGTTCTGTTTCTGAAAGAGCACTCCGGAGTATCAGAGGACAATGAAATAATAACTTTTCTAAAACCTCAGTAGGCTGACTCCACCAAGCATCATTTTCACCATGCTGACCCAGGAAGTAGAAATTGAAATGGGCTTGACTTCAGAATTGCATTTAAGTCTGAACTCCACAGATGTTAATGATCCTGGTGGCTCGTACACTTAGATCTCACACACTGTAGTGCTGTCCTTAATTTGCACTTATTTTTTTCTTTCTTTCTTTTTTCTTTTTTTTCTTTTTTGAGACAGAGTCTCATTCTGTCACCCAGGCTAGAGTACAGTGGCATCATCATAGCTCACAGCAACCTCAAACTCCTGGCCTCAAGCAATCCTCCCACCTCAGCCCCCCTGAGTAGCTGGGATTACAGGCACGTGCCACCATGCTTGGCTAATTTTTAAATTTTTTTGTAGAGATTGGATCTCGCTATGTTTCTCAGGCTGGTCTGGAGCTCCTGGCCTCAAGTGATCCTTCCACCTTGGCCTTTCAAAGTGCTGGGATTAAAGGTGTGAGCCACTGTGCCCAGCCTCACATATTTCTTAGCCATAATTGATTGGTGTTAGAACTAGTTTCACAGAGGAAACACATTTCCCACACGGAAGGTGAATGAGAGCATTTCTACAGACAGGTCTCTATAAAAGGTGGTCATTAGTGCTGGAGTCCAGTAGGGTGTCTTCACCTGTGCCTGAGCCCTGGCATTAGTCCAGCAGAAAGGCCATATGTGTCTGGCAGGACACCCATTTTGACAGTCAGGCATCAGTTTTGATTGGCTGGTGCCCATGCCATTCTGGGAGATTAAGTTTTTAATATTTCAGCTGCCCAAGAAATTGGTTTTAGTGTGAAAACAAATATTCTACTTAATTTATGAAGAATTTTCTCGATTTATGCTTTCCTATTATTACAATCAATTTTACCCTTCTTTCAATTAATACAACCCTTAAAGTTGATCAAGTACTTCTCTTGTGGTAGGCATTGGGCTATGTACTTTCCTAGACCTCAAGGTATTTAATATCCTCGATGTCGTGAAATATTAATAGTTAATATTTCTCTCACTTAGCCAAAGTTATTAAGCTGAACCATATGAAAGAGGTTCTGTTGGAATGGTTACTATTGGCAATTTCATCCTGCCTTTCTCAACCAGGATTCCAAGAGAGAATCCCTAAGGAAATGAGCCATCCACTGATATAATGAATTAACTTCTCTCCTGTGCATCTAAAGTGGTACCAGTCAGATACCATCCTTGGTGGGAATTCAGAAAATAGTCATTCAAATAATTTTTGGTGTTCTATGACTCAGTTGAGAAGCCTCGTTTGAGAAATGCAGCAAGAATGTAATGAACAGGACTTGTACAATAGTGGAGTGGAAAATACGCCCCCAATATATCATATGGATGACTTTGTAAGCTTTAGGGCATTTATTCTCTACATAAGGGGAGGAGAACAAATCAGATTCTTATGGAGGCACAGAGAGTAGTAGGGAGGGCTTTTCAAATTATAGGTCCATTTTTACATTCTGTCTTTTGGTTGGACCCCTCCATGAGAGTGGCAGCTGGAGAGAATCTTTATTATCAATGGGAATGTAGGGCTGTTTCATAGGAGAAAAATATTTTTTGAAGACTATTGTGATAGATACAAATCATTTCAAGTTTTAACTTCTTTTTGTTATGTATTCAACGATAATACATATTTTTATGGAAAGTAAGGCATTTTGAAAATTCAACCATTTGAATTCAAATTATTATACCTGGAGATAATAAATAACCCAATCAGACTTTCAGATTGAAGAAAGCCCTAAGTTCACAAAGAGGAGTCTTCTACAAGACCAAAGGGAGTTTAATTAGCTGCCTAAAAACATATAAGGAAACTATCCTTAAGTTCTTTTCTTAATCAGGTTCTGTGGCATATGCTATGGTATGGGGCACAGAGCCTGGGGTTGAGTTTTATAGCTGAGTTCTGCAATTTAGTAGCTATGAGACCAAAGCAAGTCATACAACTCTATGAGCCTCAGTTTCCTAAATAATTAACAGAAATGAAAAACTAACCTGTAGGACTGTTGTGCAGATAAGACAGCAGTCCTATCAAATACATAAGATGCTTGAACAAAACTGTAAAATAGTAACTTTTATGTATTTTTTCAAGTTAGTCTAAACAAGTTAGTTTGAGTCAGTTTCGAGAAGTTCAGTAGCATATTGTGTTTCCTGTGGATATTTTGATTTTAATACTTACCCCTCCAACTCTTTCAAAGTGGTCGCCATCTTTGTCAAAGTCTATCAACTGTCCGTTAAATGACCACGTGAACACGATGTCCAGGGAGTGATCGTGGGTTACCTGGCATGGCAGAACAATACTTTCTCCAACAGTGACATCCATACTGGAAGGGGGTACCATGACCTTTGTTGGATCTGCAGAGTTAAAACAAAACAAACAACACCAATGACAAAGCCTGTGAGCTCACGTAGAAATAAAATGTGGAGTTCAAGAGCAGAATGAAGTACTAAGTAATCTTGCTTTATTTTTTCTTAGGCTGTGACCAGCACTGGCAAACCTCAGTCATATGGGAAACACAGATTCAGGTCAGGAGGTCATTTTTAATATGAAAAGATGAAAACACCCATTATGTGAACCTTCTTGGAGCAAGAGAACTCAGCTGGGCAGGACAATGGTTAGATCTCTGAAGATGCTCATGGAAGGGCTTTCTGGCAGCCTCCTCTGAATGACCTCTTTGAAAAGGTTTTCATATTTCTCCAGTTTCACTATAAAGCTACATTTCAGCTGAGTGCAAACAGGAAAATTCATGTTGATTTGAAGTTTGCCGGGCTTCTCCCCTCCCCATTATAACAGTGACAAATGTTTTAGTACAGGAAATTTAGAAAATTCAGGAAAATTAAAAGAAGGGACAGAACAAAAACCAACTCCCACCCCCACCAAAAAAAAACCCTACCCAGATAAAACACCTATTTTCATTTTGGTATAATTTCCCCCAGCCTTTTTGGTCCGTAGTTTTTCATTTGTTTCATTTTACATCCTTGTAAATATGTGACACATACACTGTTCCTTTTTTCCCTACATAATATTAATATTATATAAGTATGTTTATACCTTTATCAACATAT